TACATCTGTTCAGAAAAAAAATAATACAAAGGTGAATCCGGCTCACCTAGGAGCTGTTTCAGTGCAAAGGGGGTGCCTCTTTCCAATTCTCACAAAGGCACTGAGTAAGCTAGTGGCTCTCCCAACACCATGGATGAAATTCAGGAACAGATCATGAAAAAGCAAGTCACAGAACATATGCATAATTCCATTTCTAGAATGTTCCAAATCATGGAGAATAAAACTATTATAAAGAGATTTTTAAAATGAGGCTAAACTGTAAAGAAAATCATGAGAATGAGACACAAAATTCATGATACTGGTTACCTCTAATCAGGGAGAAAATAGGATTGGGAGAAACATGTAAGAATTCCATTTAATATGTTTGAAGTGACAGACATACCATTTTCCCTGTTCTGATCATTATATACTGTTTGGTCATTATCTGTCATATACCTGTACTTAAGAAATGTTCTACTATATCCATAAATATGTACAATTACTATGTGTTAATTAGAAATAAAAATATATTAAAAATAACTTCAAAGGTAAGAGAAGTCTATTTCTTAAACTGGGTGATACAGATTAGCTCAACATGTACTTATGATTTATACCTTACACTTATCTGATATTTTCATTCATATTCAGTATTTAATAAAAATAAGAAACAACAAAGGACTCCCTGTACTCAAAAAACTTAAACTTCAGAAGAGAAAGGGAATTTATAGCAAAATATGGGCTTTGATAGAGCCACATACAGTTTGGCATCTTCAAAAAGAAGCACCAAATAGGTTAAAGCATGCTAGAGTGCCTTATACAAAATATCTATACTATACAGTGAAAATTATGCAAGTATACATTGGTTCCTCACACTGTGAGTCATAGAGCACTTAAGTAAAGTTATATTATTTATATTAAGAATAATGTATAGGGCTGGGGACATAATTCAGTGGTAGAGCATTTACCCAGCATTTGTAAGGCCCTTGATTTAATCCCCAGGATTATCAAAAAATAAAAAAAGAATGATGTACAAAGGAGCCATTTGTGATGGGTCTAATAAATATTGAAATGAAATGTGAGGAAAACCTTCAATCTGTTACTCTATGGGCTAATAAATAATATAATAATGACTCTTTGTACTTCCTCTCCAGAAGCAAAGGAAAATGTTGGATTGAGGAAACCATGCACTTCTTAAAAATCTTTTAAATTCATCTGGGGTTAAAAAAAAAAACAAAAAACTCTTTAAAATGAAAATGCTAACCACAAAGCAGTAAGTACACTAGGGTCCTATTATGATACTAATGTATTTGTGTGTGTATGTGAATATACTACACATATATATACACACACATACATATTTCCGTTTAAGGTGTTTTTTTTTTTTTTGAGATAAGAAACAAAATTAAGCTTGGGAAAAAGATAACATACAGGAGAATTTTTTTTTAAGGTTTTGTTCAAATGATCCTAAATATTTAATACTTCAAGGTTGATGAATTTAGAACATCTATAAAACTGTGGGTCCACATTGGGTATCTAAGCTATGCTTTTCCCATATCCCTCTTATTCAATTTTACTTGGTTAAGATATAATGATTTTTTAAAACCAGACTATTTAACATACAGGAAGTTTTATCTATTTTAACTGAGAAAGTGGAATTTTTTTAACCCATCATAGCTATGAAATTAATAACTATGAGATCACCAATATAAACAAGGTGATAATATATACTAATTAATCTCATAATGATCCTGTGTCAACCAATAAATCCCTACACAAACTTTTAATCAACAATATAATGCAGATTCACATGTGTTCACAGTTATAGTAGGGTTTTAAATAGATTGATAAGAACAAAAGAGTATTTCAAAGTGTTCACACAAATAAGACTGCATTTTGAAAGTTAAAACAACACTTAAAAATCAAATTTGCCTGCCTTGCACACACCTATAATTCCAGCTACAAAGGAGATGGAGGCAGAAGTAGGAGGATCTTTGAGTTCAAGGCCAGCCTGGGCAATATAATTTCAAATTGTACTCTTGAAATAAAAGATCAAACATCAAGATCACACAGCAAAGAAAACAATCAACAGAGCAGAGACAACCTACAGAATGGGAGAAATGATGTGCAAACTATACATCTGACAAGGGGTCAAACAACTCAATAGCAAAAAAACAAGAAAGAAACACAACACAAGGTATTCTGATTTAAAATAGGCTGGGGAGAATAAGGAGGGAGGGAGGGAGGGCAAAAGGTTGACCACAAGGTAATAAACTAAGGAAAAATAAGTTCCCATGTTCCTTGTACAGTAGAATGACTATATACAATAATAATGTAATGCATATCTCAAAAAAGTTAGATGAAAGCATTTTTTAATGTTTTTCCCACACACAAAAAATAAATGTTTGAGAAGTTACATTTACCTTGATTTGAACATTACTACTACAATGTACCCAGGTATCAAAACATCAGATGTACCCCATAAATATGTGTCAATTTTTTAAACTTTTTAAAATTTTTAAAAGTCAACAGTAAGATCAAATGTACCATACCAATTTTCTTTTTATTTTCATATTTTTTGTTGTAGATGGAAACAATATCTTTATTTTATTTATTTATTTTTATGTGGTGCTGAGGATCGAACCCAGTGATTCACATGTAGTAGCCAAGCACTGCACCAGTGAGCTACAACCCCAGTTCCCACCATACCAATTTTCAAACTCAACTACAGATCCACTCAAAAGAAAGAATTGTTCAGTTTATTAATTTCATCCTATAAAAGCCACACCAACACAAAGCTTACTAGTATTTTGTGATCAAATTGCCTATGTCCACTCAATGTAACAATAAAAGCTAATAAATATTTATTCCTCCATCTATATTCAAAATACTTTGGGAGAAAAATCGTTGGAAATATAAGATCTTTTCAACAAACATCATTCAGTTTTTTATGGAAAAAACAGAAACTGATTTGAATTATTATATTTTACTTATTACCTCCAAAGCTTTCAGTCAAGTTTAACACAATTGGAATAAAACTCTTATTCTATTGTCTACACTAAAAATACACGTACACGTGGGGCTAGGGTGGTGGCTCAGTTGTAGAGCACTTGCCTGGCATGTGTGAGGCCCTAGATTGGATGCTCAGTACCTCGTATGAATGAATAAATAAATAAATAAATAAATAAATGCCCATTAACAGCTAAAAATATGTGTGTGTGGGGGGCACTGAGTAATTTTGATCACACAGTAATTTTGAAAAATTTGGGAATTACACAAAGTCTTATCTGTAATCCTGCCATTCCAAAATACCCAGATCCTTCTATTATTTGGTACAATATGATTTTAGAATTCTATTAGTGGGTCTCCTTCTCTTACAGAGATGATCATATGGCGTCTAAGTATGTTGTATGGTGAATTACATTTACAAATTTTCTGATGTTAAGCCATCTCTGCATACACAGGCTAAATCAATCTTGGTTGTAGTGTTTGATCTCCTTCATTCATGGCTGGATGTAGTTTACTAATACACTTTTTAAAAGTTTTTAACTTCTACATCATGACTAAAACAGACCTCAATGTAACTTTTCTCTCTACTACTGTTTCTGTCTTAAATATCAAGAGTTATATAGGTCTTATAGAGTAAGTTGAGATGTATTTCCCCATTTTCTTTCTTTTTTTTTTTTAATTTTGTAGTTGTACAGAATGCCTTTATTTTATTCATTTATTTTTATGTGGTGCTAAGGTTCGAACCCAGGGCCTCGCATGTGCAAGGCAAGCACTCTGCTACTGAGCTACAGCCCCAGCCCCTATTTCCCCATTTTCTATTGTCTGGAAAAGTCTGTGTAAATTTTAGGTGATCTGCTCCTTGAAAATTTGGTAGACAATCAAAATGTGGCATTTATACACAATGGAGTATTACTCTGCATTAAAAAATGACAAAATCATAGAATTTACAGGGAAATGGATGGCATTAGAGCAGATTATGCTAAGTGAAGCTAGCCAATCCCTAAAAAACAAATGCCAAATGTCTTCTTTGATATAAGGAGAGTAACTAAGATCAGAGTAGGGACGAAGAGCAGGAGAAGAAGATTAACATTTAACAGGGATGAGAGGTGGGAGGGAAAGGGAGAGAGAAGGGAAATTGCATGGTAATGGAAGGAGACCCTCAGGGTTATACAGTGGAGGGGGTAGAGAGAGAGGAGGGGAGGGGAGGGGAGAGGTGGGGAGGGGGGAGGGGGGAGGATGGGAAAGGCAGCGGAGCACAACAGTCACTAGTATGGCAATATGTAAATCAATGGATGTGTAACTGATGTGATTCTGCAATCTGTGTATGGTGTGAAGGTGGGAGTTCATAACCCACTTGAATCAAAGTGTGGAATATGATATGTCAAGAAATTTGTAATGTTTTGAACAACCCACAATAAAAAATTAAAAAAAAAACAAAAACCATCTGGGCCTGTTTTCCTTGTGAGATGACTTTTTTCTTTTTACCACTTCTTTGCTTTCTTCAACAGTGAAAGAACCACTCAAGCTAATTCTTGAATTCGTTCTTAAAAGTTAAATTTTGTACAGTGGTGCATACCTGTAATCCCAGCAATTTAAGAGGCTGAGGCAAAAGGATCACAAGTTTGATGCTAGCTGGGTAACTTATTTCAAAACTCTGTCTCAAAAATAAAATTTCAAAAGTCTGAGGATATAGCTTAGAGGTAGAATACCCCTGGGTTCAATCCCTAGTATTAAAAAGAAAAAAAAATAGTCAAATTTCTAGGAACTTATCTATCTCTAACCATAGTAATGAGACCAAAAATTTGCAACTATTCAAGCTATAATCTCCTTGTGTCTAAATTGAGAACAATATATCTCATAAATATGCCTGTTTTGTTTTGGTTTTGTTTTTAATGTGAGATTAAGAATCTTTAAACAGGTCTAAAAATAACTGGAAATTATTGAGTAGCACAAAATCATAATAACTACTTTCGATAAATAGAAATAGGTATGTATATATTTTAGCTATCACTTACCACCAGAAACAGGGGCATCCATGAAAACTGCTCCCATTTTCTCAACTTCTTTGGCCAATTCTTTTGAAACTGAAGGATCAATAGTACTGGAATCTATTAATAATGAGCCTTTCTTCACTTTTCTAAGTAAATAAATAAAAATATTCATAGTTTACAACTTTGAATAAACATCGCATACAACTACTTATATAGTTCAAATCAGCTAAAATATGCCAGATATCAAGGTGGGGGGGTCTTTGGCTTAGTATTAAAAACATTATTAGTTTGAACTGGTTCAAAAAATCTCATTCATTTCCAGATCAATTATAGTTCAAAGTAAACCCAAGCTCTTCCAAATAAGCCCAAAAGAATCTAATAAACTACATGGTACACATTCTGGTTTTAGGTAAAGTACACAGTAACCATATAATATAGGTAGAGCTAAAATGTAAGCAATTTAAAACAACTATTAACTTTAAAAGGGTATTTAATAGGATTTAAATTTTTGTTTGTAAAGTCACTGAATCTTAAAAAAAGTAATTTATTTGTCTTTAACAAGCCATACTACAAATTTCACATATCTATGTAATTTCTACTAAATTAACTAAACACAATTGAAATCTAGCCATTTGCTTTAGGATTATATATTTGTTTTATAAGTAAAACTTTTTGCGGGGAGGGGGGTACTGGGGATTGAATTCAGGGACACTTTACCACTGAGCCACATCCCCAGCCCTATTTTTTATTTTATTTAGAGACAGGGTCTTACTGAGTTGCTTAGTACCTCGCCATTGCTGAGGCTGACTTTGAGCTCGCAATCCTCCTGTCTCAGCCTCAAGTAATACATTTTTAAAGACAAAAATATCAAACAAGTAGGAAAACACAAGAATAAATCTGGAAATTTCACAAAGTTTTTTGTTCTCTGTAGGAAATTAAAATATACATACAAAGAGGAAGCAGTGTTTTTGTACATCTTACCTCAATATTCAAATGACATTCTTGTAGTAAAATGTTTCTACTTTTACTACAAGAATATATATCTCTACATTGTTCCCTTATTATCTAAAAAGCAGTGCATATTTTTACTGGCTAATATACTATGACCTCAATTATAATTTATTTAAGGGCAATGGCTAGCCCTTAATTCAAATTTCCCAAAGTTCTTACTACAAGGTAATATTAACTCAGCCAGGAATCATGACTGGAAAAGAGAACTCAGCAAGTATAAATATTAAAGAAGAAAATAGGGGGGGAAAAATCACTGATAAGAACTACTAAAAAGAAAAGTAAAATCTTTCTATAGGAAAAAATAGCATACAACATGATTTAAACAACAATCTTAGACATACAAATTGTTCTAGTTCAAAAGCTTGGGTATATTCCATAGAAGGACACAGCAAACTATTAGAGATCACCTCTGTGTAGGTTTTACTTTATGTAACCTAAAAAATAAGAATTAAGTTTATCAGTCTTTTGTAACCTTCCTATTTTTAAGATATTAAATCTTTTTTAAAAATATTTTTAGTTTTAGATGAACATGATACCTCTATTTTATTCATTTATTTTTATGTGATGCTGAGGATCAAACCCAGTGCCTCACACGTGCTAGGCAAGCACTCTGCCAATGATCCATAACCCCAGCCCAGATATTAAATCTTTAAACAAACTGGAAATCATCTAAAAAATTACACATGCACTGGATATAGGAAACTGATCCTTATCCAGAAGAAAATAAAGAACCATCCATGAAAGGCAAATTATAGTTCAATGTAAAGCCAAACTCTTTCAAAGCACCCCCTGGACAAAATTAGTTTGGTGGCTGGCCACCACCCTCCAAAGTAAAGGATATTAATACAGATAGGGTCCTGTCTCCACACAAGTTTTTGCAACTTTTCCCTGAGAGGTAAGGCAGGGCCTTAACTGAAACAGGCGGGACAATGAGTCAGCAAGAGTGCCTCTGGACCACACACACCGAGGGCCTGCCTGCTGGCTTCATCCAGAAGGAGTGTCTTTCAACCATCCCTGAAATCTAAACATTTATCTTATCAGTTTTCTGCCTAATATCCAAGTGTCTTTTGCTTCCAACTTTATTAGTTTTCCAAAGTAATTCAATTTCCAAAAACCTCAAATTTCATGTATTACAATTTCCTGGAATTCAACCCTTTCTTGATGTGTCCATAGAGTCCACTAGTTTGTACAAGCTCTTTGCTGAAATTCAACAACAAAAGAAGTTAGGAATAGGAACCAGTTAAGACCAGAAAACTAAGTTGGAAATTCAAGCTCTATCATCCTAACATAACCACAAGGGTTTGGCAACAGGCGCCAATTAACCAAAAGGTGCACAGAGCCAGGGAAGATAGGTTCTGGCTAGGAAACTCTGACCTAAATTATGTTTTATTTAAAGAACTGCTGCAAACCTTTAATTCCAACTTCCTGAAGTTCTTACTACAGATACACTAACCCAGAGGACATACAGTAACTTTTTATTATATAATAAAATGTTAAATAACAGTGTTCTTTCCAGTGTTTGGTTTTATTTTTCATAGAACCCTTTTTCTGAATTCCTAAAAGCCATAAGAAAATTATACTTTTAATAGCTGTATAGTTTAAAATGCAAACTTTAAAAGCCTCTTAAATGTTACCAATGAAAGTGTAATTTTAATGCAAGAGTTAAAGAAAAGAAACAGAAGCAAAAAAACTTATTTCCAAACGTTACATACTTGACTCCAGTGGAAAAAATAAACCCTTCACAATGAGGGGGGAAAAAACCACACTATTCACTTTATGGAAGAAGAAAATAGTATAGAAAGTTTAAACAAATATAATTGTAAATTCTTAACAGTTCTAACAAATGTGAAATTCATGAACTAGCATAACAAGAAAATATCCACAGTTGAAAAATACATACTTTAGAATTCCGTTTGTTCCAGAATAAGCTTCTACAGCATTGATACTGGTAGGCAGCATTGTAATAATCCTGTCAGCCTTTTCAGCTACATCTGCTGGGGAAGACACTACCTTTAAAAAAAATTGCGAAGGCACATTATTAAATTAAAATGCAAGCAGTTTCTAAAACACAAGTATATTTTGTATATGTGCTTAAGTAACAGAACACAAAAATCAAATGTTGTTTACAAATGACAAAAATAAAAAGCTTATTGTCCAAAATAAGGAGTCCATTTTTTATCCATGAACCGATGCAGTTTCTGTGGAATCAAATCTACTGTTTGTTTTTAAAAATGTGAAGGGAATAAATGGGAAAAGGGCAAAATTTTAAAAATAAATATTTTTTTACAACAGAGCTGGTAGCACTACTACAGGATACTGAGTAATCAGGTGGGCAACAAAATCCATTAGCAAAATCTCAATACAAACCACCACCATCCTCTACTTTCTATTTTCAAATTAACAAAAAAGAAAAAAAAATCACTCCATTTCACAAAAGTCAGGACAGGACATGAACACTTCCTGCAATGACAGTGAGTACTACCAGGATGTAGGGAGTTATCAGATCTCATGGGGAAACTGTATGTACAAGAGACACAGGAATAGTTATCAGGGTACCCTCTCAATTCTCCTTTCTGCTTTAAAATGACCATAAACATACTACAGAGGAAAGATGCTCTGTATATATGTGTGTGCAAGCATGCATACACACTCTCACTCACACTCTCCCCCTGCTCTCGGCTCTCTCTCTTTTTCACATGTACAGTTTGATACACATGGCCAGACAGTTGGCAACCAAAGAGGTCAGGACAGACTGAGAATGTACTATTTGACTCAAATTCTCCTTTAATAGAAGTGGAGCCCATCACCCCAATTGTCACAAAACTTTCTCTAAAGTCTTTTGTTTTTCCATGTAAAAAAAGATGAAGGACTATCAATCAAATAATTGAAGACTTCTCTCCAGGATGACTTACACATGTAAAAACTGACACTATTCAACAAGCATCATGTATGGAGAAACTGACCTGTTTTCTATCAGAAAATGTGAAGTGACGAGAAAGCATCTTAGGAATGGGAATGTCTCTGCTTTTCATGTGGTAGAAGTTTATATAACATTTTCTTTTTATCTTTTATGTGCATTTGATGAAAGTCAAAGAATGGAAAACCAAACACAGTGTGTAATCTAAATATTATTATTAGCTAGAAATAATTACATTTCAATTTTTCTTAAAATATAAGCTTCTAAATCAAATTCTGGACAAAGCAATTTCAAAAACCATTCTTTAAGTTTTCAGACAATTAGTATCCTAGCAATTTGTGTATTAAGTCCAGAGAAGAAATGTAGACCACCTCATACACTAAAACAAAACAAAGATATTCTCTCTCAATGTTGCGCTCTAACAACAATGGAACATTTTAAAGTCTACAGTGAGGTACATTCAACATGTATATTTTGATGTGTAACAGGGATAGGCCACAAAGAATTTTGAAAACTTTTTAACTTTCCATGAAATTACAAAGAAATGTTAACATGAAAACTTTTCTTAGACACAAATACTGAGATTCAAAAAAAGAGGTAACCATGGAAACCCATTCAAGTTTATTCAAGAAAAATACAGCTCAGTAGTAACATGAAGAGATAAGAAATGGAAGTCATAGGAGTTGTAATTCTCTACTCCTAGACTCTCAAGAACATGGTTACTTGGAGAGCCCCATTTGTTCATCTCCATTTTAGTATAGTAAATACAATGCAAATGATAGCATATCTTTCAGTGGCCTTTCCTTCTATTGTAGATCCATCTCTAGATCTTTCAGAGATATCAGTAAGTCCTGAGGTCTAAGAGTCAATTTTAGGCTTCCTCACAGGAATTGAGTTCTCTTCCATTGAAAGAAATTCAATTTCATACAGATAACTCCTTGAGAGTCCCTAAAGGGCAGTAGCAATTAGCTTACAGATCTAAGGGTACTTCACACCTCCAAGTTTCTCATGCCCATGAACTGGCAGTGCCAATTCATCCAACTGCCAAGTGCATGGGGTGGCAAATCAGCCCCCTGCATCCCTAGCATCTGCTTCGTGGGATGCTTGGGTTTCCAGAGCACTGCTAAACCCCTCAATTATATACTAAAGTAGTGTCAAAGCTCACAGGCCTGGAAAAAACACACAATGATAGCGAAAGCTGAAATGTCACCACTATAGTGGCCACAACTGCTCCGTGTCTCATGATGACATACACTGGTATATTATAATAACAGCCTTTAATTTGCATTACAAAGGCATGTTTATCAGATAGACAAACACTCAAATAATCTTGCCATCAATGTGATGACTTCAAGACTGAAATAATTGACGAAATTTGGCCACAACTCAAAATCTAAGGGGAAAAAAAAACAACCTCTTGCCAGTCTGACACTAACCACAAAAGCCTTTAGGAGCTGAACTAATTAGAGTCCCTTCAATTACATTTGCTAATTGAGTGGATAAGCAAAGACAGCATGGATCAGAGAAAAGAACACTAATTTGGGGAAGCCAGAGAACCAGGTTCAGTTGCAGCTCAGCCAAGAAGTCATGTGCTATTTTGCACAAATCACTTAACCTCTGGCTTCAGTTTCCCAATCAATCTATAAGATAAAAATAGTAATTTAGGTTATCTTTAAGGGTTTCTATCTACAAAATAAAAAAGGAAACTTGGGCAGTAACATTAAATTTAGTAACATTAAATTCAAGGATATGTGTGCCCCCCCCCCCAAAGAAAGGGCTGATGGGGCTGGAACACCTGCAGGGACTCAATACAAATGGACAGCATTAGCAGGACTCACGCTGTGCAGGTCTTCAATACCTCCACATCTGTGGACAATTCCTAGCCTGGCTGACTGAATCTTGGCTCTGCTATGACTGCCCAGGCTGTCCAGACAGATCTCCTGCTAATTACAACAGCCTCATTTTTATACCATTATGAATTAAGATGAGTCTACTTTTTTATTATCACAATTTTGACTATAGGAAATTGGTTTCCATGTATATCTCAATATCTACAGTAAGAATTCTTACAGCCAGTTTCTCTGGACTTTACCTTAATTAATCTGTCTGCCAGGATACCTCAATGGCAACTGTGTAATATAAAGAGTAAAAGACTGGATGGATTCAAGACAAAATATGCTCTGCTGAAAGGGGGAAAAGGAAAAGGACCAAGAGTAATCTGAAGGAAATGTACCTCTCTTTTACAAATCCACTGGAAGGAGACAACTGTTGCCTAGTTGCTTTCTAGGAAGAGAAAAATCTTGCTGTCTCTTCTAAGCAAAAGTCAGGAAAGTCAAGCTCAGCATTGTTTCCAAATAAATGGGTAACAGAAACTTGCAAAGAAACAATATGAACATGACCTTGTTACACCTCTACTCCAGTGGTTTTTAATCTTTGGAAGTAGAAAAACACACTGTTACTTCAAAATTGCACTACATTTGACTGACAAAAACGTTTTGTGCCTGTATCTTGAAACATCTGGTCAACAATGATGGAGCCCACTCAGCAAGAGGCTTTTAAAGTTCTTATTTAACAAGATGTGAGTGGATGCCAGATTAGAGCCCAAGAGATTTACTTAACCAAACATGTTCAGCCTTCCGATCCAGGAACAACAAAATGGTTTCCAACTTTTTAAAGGGAAAACAAAAGAGGATCTAATTAAGCCTCGTTCAACCAGAAAACTCATATGAAAATGATGCATACGTCGGGACTTTTGGCACATATCAGCATCTCCATGGAAAATCCTAGACAATGAAAATGAAGCACAAGTTGCACGCCCTTCATGCTAAGCCTTAAGTTACAAAAAGAGACGACGAGCATCTTCTTATCATAAAAGTAGGAGAGAAGGGACAGTGCAGAATAGATCCATAAAAAGGGATGCTGTCAAATGATCATATAGTTTAATTTTAATTTTTATCATTGTTCTTTCATTTAAAAGTATGTCTACAATTTTCTTCCAAAATACTTTGGACTTAGTGATTCAGCCAAGACAGTGGTATAAAAGTGTGTTGAGAAACATGGTATAGATACAACAACCAGCACCACAGGAAGAGTAGCAGTGGCAGTAATAGCACTCTTCATGTGCCAGCTCCTCTAGGACTAAGAGGGAGTTATTGTTATTATCTCTATTTTATAAGATAAAGAAATTTAAGTAAAAGAGAGGTGAATAGTCTACTTGAAGCCACACAGATAGCACATAGCAGAACTGGGAGTTGGGTCCAGGCAATCTCAGGTTTTTAAAACACTACATTGACTATATATTGATTTTTTTTATTTCTAATATATACAAGCCTAATGGTTATCATTAGTTACATTGTTATCAAAGGTGCTAAAAGTTGTGATGATGCGTTGTAGGTCAAATCTAAATTTCCAACAGAAACAAGGATACAATAACAGGATACTAAATCAGGAAAGTCCAAATTTTTAATGGAAATGTCATGTCCACAAATAACAAATTTGATAAATTATAAATGCCTCATTAGGTTAACATTTGGAGGCATAAATAAGCTAATTAGTCATGTAAAATACTGAACATGTCAAAATTTTTATTTCCTTAGTAACCCATGAAATAATTTTTTTTTTGGCAGGGGGAGGGATGCAACCCAAGGCCTCACACATACTAGGCAAGGTCTCTACCACTGAATTACACTCCCAGACCCATATGGTACTTTTTATGAGGATCTTGAAAACTAGCTGATTGCTCTTTGAGTTAGATTCCTTGAGTTAAATATTTTACAACTTTTTCATCCCTGCTAATCTCTCACTGAAAGCACAGTGAACATCAGAAATCAACTTGGCAAGGTTTTGCAATTTGGGAGATGGGGGAGATACTTTAGTTTACTTTGGCTTTCACCTCATCAGCTTCACTTAATATTGTAACATTGGTGGAAGGGTGGGGCAAGGTGAATATCTAGCATTAAAATGTCCGAATCAACTAAAATTCACCCAGAATTCTTTAACCTTTAATCCCTTCAGGGTACTGTTTTACAAAACAGCAAGAAGTTTCATGGTTTTCACATACATTTCTCATTCCAAGTCTTGTCTTTGCCTTATA